AAATTGAAAAATTCATATAATCTAGTCTAGTCTAGTCTGGTCTTAGTCTAGTTGTAAAACATAAACGCGTGCGGGAGCGCGGGTACGAGCGGGTTGCCTCGCACACGGAACATAATAAGTATATACAACAACAACAACAACTTACAAGAGGGACGTCGTTGAATTGAAAGGGAAATCTTCATCTTCTGGGTAGCTGAAGCCAAGATACATGGTCAGGTCAGATTGGGCGGCTTAAAATAATATAATATAAAATTACATTACACCTCGTTTGTAAGACGGAATGGCCCGTGTGGCCGTGTCTGACGTCTGTGGCCTGGGGTGCATAATCTCCATTTTACCCTTTTAATCTTATCCTCGAAAGTATTGTGATGCTACATTTTATTTATTTATTTATTGTTTTTGATTTATGAGACGGGTTTTTTGGCAAATTTATTGTGATGCTATAATCTTATCCTCGAAATGTTAAAATGTTTTTTGATTTAGTTTATTTAATTGCAAAATTTATATTTTATGATTTTTTTAATTTATATTTTTAAAGTATAATAAATACAATGTATAAAATTTACATATAAATAAAATTTTATACATATTGAAAAATGTTATAATTTTAATATTATAAATATATAATATAATATATTATTATATAATTAATATTTTATTTAAAAATTTATCTATAAAATTATATATATTTATTCATTTAATATCACATTTTATTTTATTAAATATTATATATGATTATAAATTTTATAATTTTTTATGATATTACAAATATAACATTACCAATATACATTTATAATTAAAAAGATAAACCTGTCTCCGAAAACAGTACAGATGAGAATTAGAAGAACTCATACATTGTACTACAATAAGTATTCTAATTTATAGAGGAGTAAACTACAAAACAACAAAAGTAACGAGGTTAACTATTTAAATAATTCATTAATTATTATTTTTATTAAAAGTAAAAACTTAATTTCATAATAATATGTGATGAAGTGAAATAAAAAATTGGAGATAATTAATTTTTATTTTATAATTAAGATAAAAAAAAGCCACGGGGGTACTTCCGTCATTTAATCCGGAAAAAGGCATGCTTGATACGCGTCTCCATGAGGCCCATATTCCATGGCCCTAAACCGACCTCTCAATCCCCTACAAAATCCCCTTCTCTCCTCATCCCCACACCACCGCCCTCCCAAAGCCAAAAGCAACCCAACCAAAGCCCCATCCCCGTCCCCTCCCTCTTTCCAAATTAACAAAATCCCACCACCGCGTAACGCCTCTCTTTTGCGACTCGCGAATCAGAGGAGAGACATGGCTCAGAGAACCGAGAAAGAAGAGACCGAGTTCAAGGTACCGGAAACCTTGACTCTCTGCATCAACAACTGCGGTCTCACCGGTAATCCGGCTACCAACAATATGTGCCAGAAATGTTTCAACGCCACCACTGCTACCACCTCCTCATCGCCCTCTTCCACCGCCAACGTCACAACTGCCGGGCCTGTTGCCGTCGGACCCTCAGTCTTAACATTCTCCGGCGAGCAATCCTCTAGATCTGCGACTTCTCGATCATTAGAGATCCGATCCTATTCCGTTTCGGCTACAACCACGGCCAGCAGCCGGAACTCCTCATTGGACGGGTCAGGAGTTCAGGCGGCATCGGCTGTGGAAAAAAAGGTGGTGAACCGATGTTCTGGCTGTCATAAGCGGGTAGGTTTGACCGGGTTTCGGTGTCGGTGTGGGGAGCTTTTCTGCGGAGAACACCGCTATTCCGATCGACACGATTGCAGCTACGATTACAAGGCCGCCGGACGGGAGACAATTGCTAGAGAAAATCCTGTGGTCAAAGCGGCAAAGATTGTGAAAGTTTGAAGATGTAAACAGTCGGAAACCTGAATTTCATCAAGTCACGGAGATCAATGCTTGATCTCTCCATCTCTCATCAAAGATGATGATATTAAGAAGGTCGTCGAAGATGATGATATTTAAGATTGGCTTCACAGAGAAGATGAAGATGGTTCACGTTCCAATATTGATAGATAGAACTATTTATTTTTATTTTCTTTTTTTCTTTTTTTTTGGTTATTATTGGAAAATGAAAGATGATTGTGGGATTTACTACGAAATTTGTCTTCTTCCTCTTCTGAATTCAGGTCTCTTTGTGTTTGGATTTGATGATTTCTGGTTTTGATGTTAATAATGGCACGTGTTTGTAAATTCAATGAAGGTGGGGGGTGGGGTTTTATGGTAATTCGGAAAATTCGGTCGGCAGGGTTTTAGATTATTATTATTATTATTATAATAGCACAAAGTTATTGGATCCGGTGGGTTGAAAACGGCTGGCGGTCGGTTTTTTTAATCGTGAGATATATGGATTCGGGGGAGGGGGCAAAAGGTTTTGATAATTTTCGTCTGCAATTTTGACATATA